AAAAGTATTTAATTTTTAAAATTTCAATTATTTTATTAAGATCAAGTTTAAAAAGATTTATATAAAATAAATATAAAATTCTGGTATTAAATTATTTAATAAAGTAATTTAGAAAGTTCAATAAAATAATAAAATATCTTTTTAGTTTATCAATTAATTTATAAAATATTAGGAACTTTTTTTTTTTTTAATTAAGAAAAAGATATATAAAAAAGAATTTAAAAAATTTAAAAATTTAAAAATAGAAAAAATATTTCAAAAAAAAATATTTGAAAAAAAAATCAATTTATAAAAAAATATAAAGATTTTATAATTATAAAAGTTGTATTTGTATTGTAATGAAAATTACAAAGAAATTTTTGTTTTGATTTTAAAAAAAATATTTTTTGTATTTTTAAATTAATAGAAATAGTTATGTTTAAAATTCAGAATTTGTATTTTTTAGTTTTATAAAAGAATTTTTTAAAAAAATTATTTTTATTTTGATAAAAATAACAAGATATGTGTTGTAATGCAAATATTAATGGAGTGTAAAACAAAATTGTTATATCAACATCATAATAACAAAACATATGAATTCATTATGCTATTTTTATTGATTTGAAATAATCAAATAGATAAAAAAACATACTGTATAAGTAGCTGCAGTATTTATCAAAGAAAAAACTATCAAATCAACAAATAATAAAAAAAAAATATATTTTTTCAATTTTTAAAAAGTTTTATTTTATGTTTATATATTTTGAATGTATTTTATATTGAAATTTCTTTAGTTATTTATATCTGAATTAAAAAAATTATTCGTAACATGAACTTTATGTACAAAAAATATTTTAATTATACATTATATTCAAGTTATAAGTTTTTTATGATCATAAGTTTGACACGTGATAAGCTTAAAACGCGATTTGTATTTACAACTCGTCGCGACAATTTTCGTCCCTCATGGTCTTCCGTCAAAGTGTCAACTCATTTTATATTGATGAAAATGCATGTGTGTGAAAATGAATTACATAAATTAGATCGACTCCACACACACGTACGTACGTCGATTAGACACGTACAGATTATCGTAGTAATGCATTTCCGTTAACCTGATTTAAACCAGCTTTTAACCCATCAATTCGTTGCAAATTAAACGGTTCAATCACTAACGGCGAATGTTTGTTGTTGTTCGTGGAGAAACTGTGGGTGTACAGTATCTACACGCGCTTTGACTGAGAAGTGTGGTGTGATCACCGAATATTCAGATCCAAGGCGTATTTCACATGCCATAAAATGGAGAGAGACCTGCATGTAATGATATCCATATACAGTAAATTATAAAGGCATGCGCGAGTTGTTCTCTTATCTTTTATTATATAGTACTATACATATTATTTACAGTACATATATACAAAATATTGTCCATTGTAAACACAATAGAGATGGAATTTTTCATTGTAATCGTATTTCACTATTTTTACTTTATATGGAAACAAAATAAAGAACCCAATAGAACAATCAGACATATGGAAATGATGAAATTTTAATATTCAAGAGTGATTTGAGCTGACGCAGACCCTAAACTATTTAAAGGGATCCCCGATGCTTACCTCTTGGAGTTCACGATTGCGTAATAGATTTACAGTAAAAAGAGAATGCGCGTATCTCACTGAACAGTTAGTTGAACGAACAACGCGTTTGCTATCCAAAGGTCAAAGGAGTGTAGAGGTACAGTATGTAAATTCGCGAGTGATTGAAGCCTTTGCATCAAAATATTCACAAACCCATGGGACCATAAAATCCTAGTATTTAACATTTTTTCTGGAATTCGCATGAAAGGATCCCGATTCTTTTCTTTACAGGGACGTGCAACAATACTTACTATTGGTGTGTTACAATCCATTTGGTAAATGGAAATTCAAAAAACCTCAGCCACCCGAGGTCTACGGCATTAATTCGAGACAATGTGCATCTCGGAGTAGCAAACGTTGAACAATGAGAGCTTTGAATGCAAAACGTACGTATGTGTACATACATACACATATACTTCTCGAAGATAACCAATTGCATCCGCTGCATCCCTGAGTTGCATAAGTAAAAAAGAATGCCTGATATCTCAACGCATGGTGATTTCACTCTCGAAAGATTTACTCGGTTTTCTTTAAAAATAGTTTTTCTTGCAAACAGACGAACGGTGCATAAATAATACACCATATTGGGAGACATCCGTCATACGTCCTAGCTTTTTTCTCTCAAACTTGTTTCTTGTTGCGAATGTCGATTTGTCACATCAGACTTCAGCGGATGCATGGCTTAAATTATTATTGACCTTACATAAGTCGTAAGGTGTGTGTAATCAATGATCAATCGACCCTGGTGATGCGCCTTTCACTTATCCTAATATGGTAATCGAACTGACAAGAGAAAGAAATCCTTTCCCAAGGATTAATGAATTCTGGCAAATTTTGTGAAAGAAATGAAGGCAAGCGGTGGAATCACGACTTTCCCATCAATGTGGTGCTTATGACCAATGTTTTGTCGCCTTCTTTCCAGTAAAGGAGATCTGTGGGAAAAAATTCAGAGTACATACATATTAGGAATCTCATTGGAATCGACGTAATGTACGTATGCACCAAGCTTATCAATCATGACATTAGCGGTACACAGATACGTAGTGTGTACGTGCGTACGAGAAAACTCGGTAATTCATAAGATTATTGACTTTCGCACCAAAGTCAAAAACCTTACGCGTGCATATACCGTACGTGCGTGAAATACGGTCTTTAATGGCTGAGGATTCAATGGTCGTGAAAATGGTTAACACCGTGGTGTAAGGTGAAAGATTATTATTAATAATCTTGATAATGATTCGTTCCTTCCGATTGACATGATTGTCACGAGAAAGATGTGGTCTCCTTGCCGTCAATTAGGAAATCCGAACCTTATCCTAAAACGCGTGATCAACTTGCTTCCTTTGTCATCTAAAAAATATTTCTCGGACGAATTGTGACCGTTTGACGCGTTTTAGCAGTGCGAATTGAGTGGAATGGGTGAATTTTTTCCTACTATTGTTTTATTCGCATTGTGTAACGGTCACTGCAATTAAGGTGTGTACTAGGTTTGACAACTACGCATAGAGTAAATGACATATGCGTACTGTACTCGAGATACACAAAATGAACAATTATACGCCAAAAGCATATCCATCCATCGGGCTAGCATTAAACATTGATGACTGTTTTCAACCATCTTTTTTTTTTTTTTTGCTTCGACTAAAACCTATTTCCATTATTGACCTGTCACGCCACGTTTTTTCCAAGCTTGCTTCTTCTGAACTCACTTTCGTCAGTTTCTTCGGGGTGTTGTTGCTTTTTATCACACCGGTCCCTGCTCATGCGTATTCTGGTTAGGGAAAAAATAAACTGGTTTTCGGGGTGGATTTTAGTTTACCATTTGTTTGTCTCGGAAAGACAACATACGTTATTAATTAATTAATTAATGACGTGACGATACCCGTAAACATTCCATAACAAAAAATCCAACCAAAACAAATAATCAAGCATCAGAAAAGAGAAAATTTGTTTCTATTCGCTTTTCGGTAATACCACACATTGGAAACGTGATAAACAACCCACTCGTCCATCTGTGCGAATCTTTCAAAGATTTTTCATCAAGATTTCTATTAACATTTCTTTTTCGATTAAGAATTGCATACTTCATTTGGAAATCGATTTTCTCCAAGCATACCATCAAAGAATTTCTTTATGCGCCATCAGCAATCACAAGGAACATCATTAAGAACATCATCAATCTCACCGCGCACCAATACTTTCGCAAAATACCCTTTTAATCATTGTAAAATCTGGTGTGCTACCATCAGTTAATTACTCATTCATTTGAAGTGTATTAGAGTTTGTTACACCGTTGCCACAGGAAGAGATTTAGGTATCCCGTTGTGTACGGTGTGTACATACTGTATTCCAAAATGATCTTCCACTCGTATTTTCGGTTCCGTTTTATACATATCGCAACGTAACGAGATGAATGCTCTTCTTAACACAGATATCGTACACGTACTCCTTATGTACGTTCATTCCAATTTAAACAAACGTGTTACTCGATTTGAACATTTGGAATTGGCTTCTGGAATATTTGTGGCTTGACACCTTTCTCATCGTTCACTCTTCAACTTCCATCGTTGGGAATTTGCTCATTCATCTCCACGTTTTGAAGCACAGGTGACATGCACCCACTGCTCTTTATTCTCTATTTTCTAGACACAAAGATTAGAATAGTTTGCCTATGCATAACATTAAATAACAAATTACCGAATAGCACAGAAAATTGAGAAAAAAAAAAAAAAACCTGCAATCCAATAAAAGATATCACAATAAACCTCTATTAGGAGATCCCTGCGCCTGCCACTCACCGATACTGTACATATAAATTATAAAAGGCAGCCACACGTAAAACACAACTCACGGAATTTCTTTTTTTTTTTTGGAGTTCAAGGAGGATACTTCTCGCTCGGTCAACGAATGTCACGGACTCTGTTGTTACTTGCAAAACCTATCCCGCTTCAAGTAACACTCACTACTTCGCCTTTTCTTTCTCCTCACCATCCATTTTTTGTATGTGAAAGGTCTTGCCTATTCTATCGGTGTCGCTTTTGAGAATTTGTCACCCTACAAATCTTGTGTTTTAAGAGAATCCTTAACAAAACGAGAACATCAACGTTTTTCTGTCGTCGATTCTCATTCGGTGTCGGTGTCGGTGGTACGTTTCTTTTTCTTCAAGGGTTTTTTCCTTTTTTCCTCTGGGAATTCAAGGAATTGGTTCTGAGGCAGCAAGGTTTGGTAAGCTTCACCGGCGCTGTCATCGAACGACCGATTGATTGATTGATTTCGTACGAAAAATTTCTCTCTGGCTTTCCTCACCAAATTTTCTCCTTTATTACCTACAGTTTACTATAGGACTCTCTACCATTTTCTCACGCACACTCACCTATATAAAATATGACCGCAGAGACTGAAATCCTAACAAAAATATTCTGGGAAATTTACGGTTACCGCGGTTGTTACCGTCGTCAAGAAAATTTCAATGACCTCTATTCATGCCTATTGGTGAACAGATCTTGGTGCAAAACCGCTGTGCCTATACTATGGTCATCCGTTTTCTATCCCATTCAAACTTCCCGCCTGGGCTTCATCACCACTTACTTATCATGTCTGAGCCCTGAAAAACTGAGGGGGATTGCTGATTCGGGTATCAAACTACCGCCATCACTTTCGAAACATCTTCTCTCTCCCATCTCAATACTTTCAGATCGTGATCAAGATGGTGGCGCCTCGGTGGTCGGCAGTGTGAAGACGCCAATGTTTGACTATCCTTCGTACCTGGAAGAATTGGATTTCGACAAACTACTGAAAAGCATATTTGATTGGTGTCGCAAGCACCGGGATATACCACGTTACCAGTCATCATCACTTTCTTCGTCCATATCATCTTCCATGTCTTCCTCGTTGTTTTCATCTCGTTCGGTGTCCACGCTTGCATCTTCGGTCTCCTCTTCCTCATCCAACAATCCACTATCAAAGTCACAATATCCATCCTTACATTCTCGAAAATCGGAGCACATCATACGAGCTGAGTGCATCCTGCGCGCCCTTCTACAGCTATTCACCTCTCGATGCTCCAACATTCGATGTTTTTCCATGAATTCGGTATCGAACTATTTGCTGCACAATGACTATTTCGAAAATTTAACAAAGATCGATTTCAACGGTTTGCTATGTGAACAAGATATCCGAGGTTTATTTGATAATGTGAAGGAATGCCGATTGGAATGGGATGCGATGGCTGTGGATGGATTTTTGGATGCTTTTGGAACGAGTTGTAGAAATTTGGTGAGTGACCGAGTGAATGGATCCAGATGATCTCAATGCATACACACGTACATTTCATTTCATTCTAACCTTCCTCAATTTGTCTAGGAAATACTCAACGCAAATTTCGCGCACGACCCAGACCTCGCAACCCTCTTCATAAATAAGAAGCAAGCAACCGACTTGGCAATCCTAATAACCACTCAGACGTCACTAAAATCTTTTGTACTTCAAGACCACCAATACTTTACTCACTTCTTCCTGCAGTCATTAAACACCCAAATCTCAACCCTAACAAAATTAGAATTCTATTCCGTGGATTTCAAAAGCTGCCACTCGTTCGACGTAATAGCCAAATGTGGTCAACTGGAATTGCTGGTGTTCAAGGACTGCATCAACATCACTGTTGAGATGGCGACACCATTATTTAATGCAAAATTACCAAAACTAAAATACGTTCACATTACAAATTCTCACGACGACCATTACAGCCGCGCATCGCGAGCCACCTCAGAGTACTCGTCAAGCGCGTCATCGAGTTCTTCCTCACGATCTTCCTCACGATCCTCCTCACTATCACGATGCTCATCTGATTCGTTGTCGTCGTCACGGTATCTGAACGATCAAGACTCGGAGACGGATTCTCGCTATATCTCATTATTATCAATTGTACATCATCGCCCATCACTGTCGTCCACGAATCATCGTCTTCAACAACAACAATCCGATCCCGATTTCTGCACCGTATGCCCAGAGCTTATCCGCTGGGCCCATCGTCGGAATAACCCACGACTGTGGTGGTCGTTGTCTTGGTGGCGGAAGCAGCTCACGTTTCAAGCTTTTTCGGAATTTGACTACATGGATTTCTTTACCGATTGTGTAAAAATGATTGGGTATACTTTGTTGTTCCTGATTTTTTTGTATTTTTTAGTGCCTTTTTTCGTAGGGATTTTTAATATGGTGGGAAGATGGTTCATCATCAGGGTGGGCAGCTGGTTGGGAGTTGAGATGACGTGCGGGATGCGGCCGGGAAATTTTGGTTTAAAGCACTTTTGGAGGGTGGGCGGATGTGGAAATATGAATTTTATTTAATCGATCTGTAGATAAAAAACGTAAGCTAAATTAATTGTGGAAGATGCAAAAGGCTGATGACGCAAAAGGTGTCGGAGAAGACGAGTGGTTCGCCTGTACATGCAACTATTTAAGAGTGATTAAGAAAGATGCTAAGATTGTTATTATATCGACATTCACTCGTAATCTCATTATCGGATGGGTGAATTATATAGCTGGAATTTACTAAAATTATGTTTCTAGATAAAAATTTTAATTTTTTAACCGAATTTTTTTTTTTTTTTTTTTTGTGTAAAATATTATTTCGAGGTAGACGCTAGTCGTTTTAATATATACATATGTTTAAGATTCTCAACACACGCATAGTCTTCCTTTGTTCATACTTAATTTTTTTCATATTTTCAAAAAAATTCAGTCGTTTGGTAGCGTGTTTCATCGTGTATTCTATTCTGAGGGTCAAATAGGAAATTTTTTCTACATGGAATTCAATAAATTATTCTTAAAGATTTCATCTGCCTGTAAAACGGGCGAATTCAAGTAGAAAAAAATTTTTTTTTTTTTTTTCGCTGATATAAACAATTACATAATCCAAATGTCAAATTGTTTAAATAATTGTTTTTTAAAAATAAAAATTAGTAAAACCTGAAACAACCATGATTTTATACCATTTAAGTAATAAAAAAAAGTTAAACTTGCAGTAATAAAATATCATAAAATTTATTAAAATATAGCAATTTTAATTATATTAATAATTATTTATAAAAAGTTGCCTTTTATTATTCATTCGAACATCTATAAAAAATACAATGGCTTATTAAAGCAATAAACTATTGAAAAAGAATAATATGTTTTTTTTTGATTTTTTTAAATAAACTTTTCTATATATTGTCGGGGGTGATAACGGCGAGTCTGTCGCTACGTCGCGATCGCCGATCGTGTAACGTCGAAAGAGGCGTGGAGATGTGGCACGAGGTAAGTGAAAGTGTTAGATATTAGTCTGAGTTTAGGATAAAAGGACGGTATTTTATTGTTGCTTTTTCTCTAGTACATTTCTCTCTTTATATACATGTTAAGAAATCCCAAAAATCCCAAAAATCCCTCAAGCCCCAATTAAACCCTAATTGGGCGAGGATGACATATGTTGAATCTATCTAAGTTTTTGGTCCCTCTTACAATATTAATAATATAATTTGTTTAATGTTTTTTTTTTTTTTGTTTTTTTTTTCAAGTAAAAAATACTATTACATTTGTGTTTTATAAAATTAAATTAATTAAATGCATAGTTAATTTGATTTATACTTATGAATATTATATATTCAACAGATTAAACAATTCTCTAATTTAGAATTTAATTATTTTTTTATATTGTAATATAATATATGAATTTATTAAGTTAAAAAAAATAAATAAACCATTTTATAATAATTATAATATATTATAAATAAAAATTTTGTTTTCTTTTTTTTTATTCAAATCAATTGGATTTCTTTAATTTTTAATATTTTTAATATTTTATCAAAGTTTTTTAAAATTAAATAGTTGAAAATAAAATTATTAATAATAGTACTTAAAAGCTATATTAAAATATAAATTATAAATTATATAAATTAAATATATGGATTTTTAATACTTTAATATAATCTATAGTATATACAGTATTAATTGATTATAAAAAAAACTTGTTTTATTATTATAAATTAACATATTTTTTAAAATATTTAAGTGATTATATAATTGAATATAAATTAATATTTTTATTTTTAAAAAATAAATTTTATAAAAAAGTTGTTATAAAAATAATATTCAAAAATTATATTATATTATTTTATTTAATTGTTTTTATTTTATTTATTTAATATTATTTAATATTACAAATAAATAATTCAAGAATTAATGAAATAATAAATAGTACTTTTGGATTTTCAAATATATGTTCCTAATTTAATATTTACAAAAGAAATTATCTTTTTTTTTTTTAATTCCATAATCAGATTGGTGTCATTTATTCATTAAATAATAGAGAACTATTATATATATGAAAATATATATAAAGTACAAATTTTCTCAACCCAACTCACCTGTCGATAGCTGAAGTCTCTAGATGCAATTTATGGGAGTGATATATTGTTCCTCTAAAGAATGGAATTAAGATCCCAAACTTTTAATAGAATCAAAACCTGCAGATCATCTTTATAGTTACGACTATAAATTCAAATTGTATTACCCCCTCTTGTAGAGACTACGCAAGGGGAAAAAGGAATAAAAATAAATTTTTTGATAAAGATAAAAAAAAAAAAAGCTATTATCTATTCTAACTATCATTGAAAAAGTTATCTTAATGAACTTAAAACCCAAGTCCCTCATGGCTTCCCACTTTTCACTACCTGTAGCCAATCAAACTGTTTAATTTCTATTGGAGTAGTTAATATCCAAAAACATTTAAGAGTACTTCCAGGAGAATATTTCTTGAAACTTTACACTTGAAGACTTCTAACCAGAAAGAATGTTGATTTTTTTTGTTGATTGCTCTTTTAAGTCATGTCTTTTGGAATTATTGCTTCACTCAACCAGTGAATAGTTTTAAGATCCTTTTTTCCAATCATTTTTGAGATAAATATCAGTATTTTAACTTGTTACCAGATTGGAATAGGACCTAGACATTGTTACTACTTCCTGTTCTCAAGAAAAAATAGGAAAGAAAAAAGAAAATAAAAGAATGGGAACAAAAAGAGATTACTTCTCTCTTACTCACAACTTCTACTTCATCTAATACACCCATACTATGCTTTTAGTCAAAAACTGTTCAACTCTTTCAAGAACCAATCACATTATCAGTTTGGTATTGGGCAACTGGGTACACATAAAGAGTACATGTCTTGTTTACTTTTTCTATAGCTGATATGACCAACCAATCTGTAATCTTGACCAATTATCTTTTAGGAGATTCAATGTAATCAAAAATTCAAAGTCAAACTGAGATAGGCAAAATTCTCCAAAAAAACCAGAAAAAAAAAAGAGAAAAGCCAAAAAGATAATGAAAAGACTAAAGACTTTTTTGTTTTTGTTTCTCTGAATCCTTAAATCTTTTGGGAATCTTTGAAAGATATTTTTTCTTGTCAGTTTTCTTCCTAGAAAGGTGTTTTTGCTATAGATTTTTTAGGTAGATTTCTTATATTTAGTCACCAAAATAAACAAGAAAAGCATTTTGAAAAGAAAAAATAAAACAAATGATAGCTTCTGCTTATTTTGCTGGTTAAGGAACCAGTGTTGTTAAGGAAAGTATATAGACTTTATTATCATAAATACAAAAAGTCTTTTGAGAATATCTGTTTTTTTGAGTTGACAAAAGAATCAGTATAAAGAGTTTGGATATTTGTTATATATAAAAATCAAAGAAATTATCTTTTATATTAGATTTATTAGTTTATATATACTGTATATATATTATATTTAAATATCCAACTTTTATTTAAATTTAGTTAGATTAATTAAAAATAAAATCTCTAATATTTCTAATAAAGCAAAAAAATTTATATAAGACAAGATTTCTGATATAACTTTTTTCAAAAAGTTTACAATCTCAATTAATATAACAGACTTTATAATATTGTTTTTTTTTATTTAAATTCATTAATTTCTTGAATAAATTATATCCAATTAGATAATATCTCAAACTAAATAGTCGGATTTTAAAATTTTATTTTATTTTTTTTTTAAATCGCAAACAGGCATTAAATGCGAGACTTTATTTAAACAATGAGTTTACTGTCATTACATTA